CCTCAAAACCCCCCACCCACCTCCCCGACCACGGCGTCATCCGTGGTGCGGTGCAGGATGCGCGTGAACCCCGTCAGCTTCTCGCCCCCCGGCATCTTCTGCACAAGCTTGTAGCTGGCATACCTGGTTTGGGCGGGTAATAATGTATGTGTGTGTGTACGTGTCGGGCGAGGGCTGATTGTTTACACAAGGGATTGTAAGATGGTGACGGTGCTGCAAGTCAGCAGTCAAACGTCAGCATGAAGGGTTGACCAAGGCGAGAGCTGGGCTGGGGCGAGGCATGCGGCACACGGCGGGTGCCGGCTGCGGCCGGGACGGCTGCCGAGTGCCCCAAAGCAGCAGCTGCTCGCGGCACCGCGGCGCCGGCAGGCGCAGGGGCCCTTTGCCCGCGTGGGGCACGGGCACGCACATGATGCGGCCCTGGATGTTTTGGTAGGGCGACCCATTGCTGGTGAAGAGCGTGTGAATGGTGTCGCCCCCGTGCCGCCGCGCCGCGGCCTGCAGGGCCCCGCCGATGCGCTTCATGTCGGAGCGCGTGAGAGCAGTCTTGTTGCTGTTGCTGTAGCGGCTCGTGCGCACAGGGGCGCCGGCGGCGACCGCGGGGCCGCCGACGGTGATCGCGCCGGCGCCGGCGCCGCCGCTGCCGTCGCCGCTGCTGCTTTGGGGGGCACCGCCCGTGCTTTGGCTGCCACCGCTGCCGCTCCCGCTGGCCCCGCTGCTCCCCCCAGCGCCGCCGCTGCTGCCGCTGCTGCCGCCACCGTTGCTGAAGCTGCTGCTGCTGAAGTCGTGCCGGACTATTTGAAACCCATGCTTCGTTATCTCGCCCTGCAGAGGCAAGGGGTTCACGCAACGCGAGAGCGGACCGATTTCAGAATGCAGCTCTCCTCGCCATGCGCGCCGCGCCGCGCGGTCCCAGGGTTGGGCGGCGCGTCGCCCGAGGCAGCTGCACCAAGGGACCATGATGTCGCGGCCTGCTGCCGTGCTGGGAGGGCTGGCGAGCGTGGGCGCGCGCGCCGGACGGGCGGGACACACGTCCGAGCCCACCTGCTGGCCCGTGGGGCCGGGAGGGGCCGCGTCGAAGCCCAGTCGCGAGGCGGGGTGGCTCGCTGCGGATGCAAGGCGGGGGACGCGAGCGCTCTGGGGGGCGCACGGCCGTCGGGCCCCAGCTTCGGGCTCAGGCCTAATTGCAAGGCTCGGCAGGCGGTCCCGCTGAAAAGCAACACAACACAGCAGCACACGTGCACACCGCAGTCTCCGCCAACAAGGAAAGCGATGCTGCTCACCATCCGTCTGCGACAGCCCCGCGCCAATCTGCTCGGCGGGCAGTGCGGTGCGATGCGACAGTCAACCCAAATGCGCCTGATGGTTCGTGCCGTGTCGGAGGTCGGCGCCACAACCAGACAGGCATGCATGAAGCAAGACCTATGGGTCACCTGCTTGTGTTGCTGATATATAAAACCCGTGAGGATACCCGAGCTGAAGCCTAGGAGCATTGTGATCAGCAACAGAGTTGGGTTGGTGCCCCTGCCGTGCCTCAGCAGCCCCAGCTGCGTCTTCGGCAACATGCTGAAAGCCTTTCTAGATGATCAACATCCCATCAAACGGTCCCTGCGATATGATATGTGATCTCTGTTCTGGATCGATGGTCTAGAGTGCCGGGTGCCCGGAGAAGAGTCAACAAAGCAAACCGATGCATTCAATGGTTTCAATTTCTACAGCGGATCTGTCTACGCTACGGTTTCATGTGGCTCTGCTGGGCAGTGGACTGGCGACTCGAGGCACCGTGACCCCCACGCCCACAACTGCACTGTCCCTCACACCTCCCAGGGCACAATGCCCGTCCAACAAGCGGCTTGAAGATCAATTGCAAACCTTAAAAGCTACATACAATCACGTATAGGCTTTTTATCGCCCCGTACTGCGAGCAGCATTTTTCTTGCCCCAACTCACACGGAGCGCGCATGCGCTCCGTGCAGCGCATACACTGCAAAATATATCTTTCATCCTCAAACACGCATTTTCATGGCGCCGACTGAGGAAATCGGGGTGCTCCGGTACGAGCTGCCAAATGCCAGCCCTACAGGCCCAGTCCGCCACAAATGGGGGGTTTGGCGTGATCTTATGAGCGGAAGGACCTCTCAGGAGAAGGCTCTGCTGCTGCGGGAGGCCACTTTGGGATTCGGGGACCCCGTGTTCCAGGTACGCCCGCGGCCCCTGGTCGGCCTCGCAGCGGCTTTTCCGCGCGGGGAATTGATGCACGAGAGAATAACTGGGAGTTTTTCAGGGTATTCATGCTCATCTGGTGGCCTGACAGGCGGCGAGGCGCCGCTTGTCCAGCAGATAGACCACTAGGGATGACGGCGCCCGCCAGGCATTGGGCCGTGGGCGACAAGGCCGGGCCACGGCGACTCAGCGGCGACAAAGTAGCCAGCTGTTGTTCTGGTTGTTTTGCACGACCGACGCCGCACAAACGCGCCTCGGCGGTCGCAGGGCGTGTCGCTGCTGGATCGGGGCTCGCTGGGGGAGGGGCGGCGCCACCGCATGGCGGCGCTCCAGGTGGGGCGGGGCCGTCGGCGGCGAGGGCTTCAGGTTGTTTTCAGGCCCTGTTATAGCGAGCTAAAGGGCTGTGGCCAGCTGCACCACTTTTGGTTCGAGGGCTTCAATGTGCACTGTGACGTCCCAGCTAAGATCCAAGGGCTGCCTGGCGCAGTGCTGCCTATACCTGGGGGGGCCCCGCATGCTGAACCGATGCCTTACAACCAACCCGTTCCACGCAGGACCGTCTGGCCGCCGCCGAGCGAAAGCGCCAGGCGCGCCTGGAC